GAGGCCGGGGCGGGGCCTGGCGCTCGCCGCCGCGCGGGTTTGTTTATTTTCCCTGTGGGTCGCGGCGCCGGCGCTGCGTGGAGGCGCGCGGGTTACGTGACGCCCGGAGTTGGAGAGAAGACCAGAACCACCTGCTGAAGACCGGAGCTACGGGGGCCGGGCAGGGTCCAAACGGCTCACGTAGGCGGAGGCGCCGCGGGCCTCGGGGTCACGGGGAGAGAAGGGCCTCTCCCGGAGCGAGTGGAAGGAGGGAGGCCCGGCGGGAAATTGGGGCGCCAAGGCCACGCCCCGCCGCTCGCGGGGGTCACCTGCGTCGCGGAGAGCTCTGGCGTGGAGAACGTTGTGAGATAGGGCGGCCGGGCTGCCCGCAACTCGAGGGCGACCTCCCGTTCGTGAAGTCGGGACGGTGCTGCGCCGGATCTCCTAGGGAGAGTAACTGCTCGGTTCTCCGTAGTCAGGCGGCGGTGTCCCGCGGTCCACCTACTCTGTCCGTGGCTCTAGTTCATTTGACAAGCTGAGCGAAGTGACGAACTCAGACCCTTCGGGCACATGGCAATTGATGCCCGAGCTGGAACCCCGCTGTACTGTCTTCCAGTTCTGGCTACACTTCGTGGCACCGTGTCCATAAACCACTCTGACCCAGCCCACCTTGAACACTCCCCATAGGTGAGATGCTGCGGCCTTACAGACGGGAGTTGACTTTCTCGGTGCTCTCAGAGTAAGGAATAAAACAAAGGTAAAACAGTTTTATAGTAAAAGACCGTGATAGGTGCCACGCAGAAGTACAGAGTTCTGCAGAGAGCGTCAAAGCGTCTAGCTCTGTCACAGGGATCGGGAAAGGAAGGCGGCACGCAGAAGGCAAGGGGATTGACCCTGAAGGAAGTGGGGAGGGTTTTACAGCAACAGCATGAAGATGTACTTGAAGGCCGGAGAAAGCTGTGTTCCAGGAAGAGCACAAGCTCTAGGGTATGCAGCGCAGACAAAGGAGAATGGTCCGCACGCGGCAAGTTGGTGAATTGGTGTTTGATTCAGTATTTTGAGTTTTCAAGGTCTAAAAATTTGAGGGAAGCAAAAGCTTTTTCTTTGTGACTACCGAATTTAAAAGGATGTGGTTGAGAGGTGATCTGCAGGAAGGATCTACAGAATTTGTCAACTACTGTAACTGATTAATTGGGGGTAGCAAGAGAACAATAATAGAGGCTTTGAGTTTGTGGACAATTATAAGGAGTAGAAAAAGGAGGGCAGTTCTAAGAGAAAGGAGAAGGAGCACCTTTTTGAGAAGATGATCACTATAGATTTGGACATTTTAAGGGTTTGAAGGGTTTTCAAAGTAGACACGTAGATGTGGACCCTGAGAAATCAGAAATTAAGGTTTTGAAGTTTAGGAACAGAGGACTGAGCAAAAAAATCGATGGGAAAGTATCAGCCCCACAGTGATATTGTGACAGAAGACGGCAGAATCTTGGAAAATTCCTTCTTTTGAGTTTTGCTGAAGTGTGACCATTGGTCCAGCAGAGTGGGCAGCACTAGAAGGTTTGTTAGAAATGCTGATCTCAGGCCCCATCCCGGGCCTGGTGATTCTACGTTGTTATGGTTTATGTCCAGATGTCCCCCCAAAGCCTGGGGCTTTTTGGAGGTGGCTGGATCCAGGATGTAGTGATGCTGGGACTATGAGTGTCTGATATCTGGATTAGTCTGCTGATTGGAGTCACATAGTTCTGGGGGTGGCTGAATGGGTTTACTGAAGACAGAAGAGCCACCCAGGGTGTAAGTGGCACCAACCAATAGGGCTATAGCTTGGATGGAATGAAAGAAGGAAGGCTGCTACTTGCTCCTTCTTACCTTGCATGCCCTGGACAGTTTCTCCTCTGCCGCGTCCCTCTGCCATGCGGTTGTGCCTTGGAGCCAGCTGACTACGGACTGAGACCTTTACAAACTGTGAGCTAAAATAAACCTTGGTAGGTACTGTGTCTCAGTGTTGAGAAAAGTGACTACAACATGCATTTTCAATTTAACAAGAACCCAAGAAGCCAGGCGTGTAATCCCAGCATTTGGGAGGCTGAGGCCGGAGGATCACTGAAAGTTCCTGGGCCTTCAGCCTGGGCTACGTAGCGAGACCCTGTCTCAGTAAAAGACCCCTGCCCCCAAAATTTAAACATATCAAAGTTTGAAAGGCTCTGAGCTAGATGAGAGAGGCCAGCAGAGAGGGGGAAGAAGTGATAGGAAATCCAGGGTAATGCAAAATCCTCAAGGCAAGGTAAATTGAAGTTTCATAAATGCATGCCACAAAGGAGTGTTGATCAACAATACCCAAAACCGCAGAGGTTGAAAGGTACAAAGAAAGAAGGTATGTCTGCATTTTGAAATTAAGTGGTGTGGTCATTATGACTACATTATTCTAATGAACAGTTTGGAAGCATCCACTTTCTAATTGGGATAGCTAGGGACTCAATCTTCACAGTTCCCACTTAATGGGACATATTGAAGTAACTGGGTAGATTTGATAGCAAGAGAGAGTAGAGGTTCTCTTCTAGTTGATGCTGGAAATAAGCAAGATTATTTCAGGAGATGGCTCATTGGCCATCACAGTTTATTTCTCCTCTTTCCCTCAACGCAGTGCACTTTTCACAGCCTCTCTTTCAGCTAGTGTAGTCAGCTACAAAGTCATCCCAAGAGAATGTGAGCAGGAATTATGCCTGCTATTGCCAGGCCATGGCCTTTACTCTGAGAATATGTATGCCTTCTTCATTAGTGTCTTGGTCATTGGGACAAAATACCCCACACCTGCAATTTATAGCAGGAGAGGTTTATTTTGGCTCACAGTTACAGACTGTGGTTGACTGGCACAAAGAAAGAAATGGGTTGGCAGAGAGTCCTGGTTGAGAGCTGCTCACTTCCTGGTGGCCAGGAAGCGGAGTGAGAAGGGAGGAGCCAGGGAGGGAGATGCCCCCTTCCAGGTCACACGCCCAGTGACTGCCTCTTCTGACCACATCCCATCTCCTAACAGCACATTCAGTGGTAGCACCCCCATGATGCAATCCGAAAGCCCAACCCCCCCGCATTCATGAGAGTTTAGGGGTCGTTCTTGATCTAAATCATAACAATTGGTTTACTCTTTCTCCAGCTGGACCCCCAACGAGGCACCTGTGCTTTGATTATGCAGATGAGTGCAGAGCCACTAGGAAGAAGGTACCTGGAGAAAGGACAGCAGGCACAGGGAACATTCGATTATGTGAGCAGCATATACATTTCTGTTGAGTCGGAACTATAGCCTTTGCAGTCCATTTGTTGTAGCGCGTTACCTACTCTAGCTATCATATTCCTTAACTGAAAGTAAAGATGGGAAAACAGAGGTTAAAGTAGGATCTATGAGTGAGGGAGAGTGAACTGACTAGGGAATCATAGTAAGGTTTCCTTTAGGGAGAGGTTATGAATTTTAAAATTTATTTTTTTATTATTTTAAACAGAAAAGGTAATACCAAAACAGTTTCAAAACAGGCTGGTAGGAGAGTAACAATAATTAATATACTGTATATTGTTATATTCATACTAGTTATTCAGAGTACGAGATAGAGGCATGAAATAGAGTCCAAAAACTACTAGCACAAACCTTTCTTTTCAATGGACTAAGAGAAACTAGCTATGTAACTATCTCAACTATCTTGTGTGTGTGTGTATGTGTGTGTGTGTGTGTATAATTTTCCATTTCCCTTCCTTTCCCCTTTCTTCCATCACAGTTTTTTTTTTCTTTTGAACAGTTTCTTTCCTAGTCACAATATCTGTTGTATATTTTGGGTCCTACTTACTCATTCAGTTACTCACACCAGTGAGATAATACATTGTTTACACATATGGGTCTGATTTATTTCACTTACAAGTATGGTCTAGAGTTGCATCCATTTACCTATAAAAGCCTCAAGTTTATATTTCTTTATATCTGAGTAGTACTTCATTCTATAAAACTACCATGTCTTACTTACCCATTCCTCCACTGATGGGCATTTGGGTTGTTTCCAAGATTTAGGTATTACAGATGGTGCTGCTATAAACATGGGTGCACATATATCACCGTGGTATGATGTTTTTAAGTCTCTAATGGCACCTCTAATCCTAGTTTTTGAGGAATCTCCACATTGATTTCCACAGTGGTTGCCCCAGTCTACACTCCCACCAACAGTGGGTTCCTTTTTTCCCCACAGCCCTGCCAGCATTTGTTATTGGTTGACTTCTTGATAATAGCCATTCTTTCTGAGGTGAGATGGAATCTCAGTGTTGTTTTAATTTGCATCTCTCAAGTGACTGATGATATGGAACATTTTTTCATATATTTATTTGCCATTTGTATTTTTTCATCTGAGAAGTGTACATTTATCTCAAGTGCCCATTTTTGGGTTGGGTCTTTGAATTTTGGGGACCTGATTTTTTTCAGTTCTTCATATGTTCTAGATAGAAGTCCTTTGTCTGAGCAACAATTGGCTCTAATTTTTTCCCACTCTGTGGATTGTCTTTTCACTCTGTTGTTGATTTCATTTTTTGTGCAAAAGGTTTTTCATAAGGTGAGATAGCATTTGTTGATTCTCTGTAGTCTTTCCTATGTGGTCTGGGTTTTATTCATGAAGACTGCCTACCCCTATGTCTTCAAGATTTCTACCTATTTTCTTTTCCTATATAATAGTGTTTCTATTTCAATACTTAGATTTTTGATCCAGTTTGACTTCAGTGTAGTGCCTGGTAATAGACATGGGTCTAGTTTTAGTCTTTGGCACGTGGAAAGCCAGTTTTTCCAGCACCATTTGTTAAAGAGACTGTCTCCAAGTGAACTTGTTTGGCTCTTTTGATGAAGATAAGGTGGTTTAATGTGTTTGGAGTTGTGTCTGCATCTTCTATTCTGGTCCACTGATTCTTTGTTCTGCTTTTTTTTCCAATACCATGCTGATTGTATCATAGTAGCTTTGTAGTATAATTTTAGGTCAGGGATTGTGATATCCCCTGACTTCCTTTGGTTGCCCAGAAATGCTTTTGCTATTTTAGGTCTCTTCCGGTTCCATATGAATTTTAGGAATGTTTTCTCTAGTTCCATGAGGTATGCTAATGGTATTTTGATCAAGATTGCATTAAATATGTGTAACAGTTTGGAGAGTATGGCCATTTTCACTATGTTGATTCCTTTTATCCATGAGCTGGGGATATCTTTCCATTTTCTGATACCTTCTTCAATCACCTTTTCAGAGTACTGCAGTTTTCAAGTCATAGATCTTTCACTTTCTTAAATTAGATTGATTCCTAAGTATTTCATTTTTTTGGATGAATTCTGCTTGGTTATGGTGCGTAACCTTCTTGATGGTTTGCTGCATCTGTAATGATTTCAGTTTGCATCTACGTTCATTAGAGAGATTGGCCTGTATTTTTTTTTTTTTTTTAGTTGAGTTCTTCTCTGGTTTTGGAATCAGGGTATTACTTGCTTCCAGAAATGATTTTGGAAGTAATGTTTCTTTTCAGTTTTCTTAAAGAGTTTCAGCATTAGTGGCATTAGTTCTCTAAATTTCTGGTAGAATTCAACAATTAATCTATCAGGACCTGAGCTTTTCTTTGTTGGTAAATTTTTTAAATTACATTTTTAATTTCATTGGCTGATATTGGGTTATTTAGAATTTTTATATCCTCTTGATTTAGTTTTGGCAATTGATTGTGTCTAGGAATCTGTCCATTTCTTCTGTGTTTTTCATCTTATTAGAATATAGGTTCTCATAGTAGCTATTGGTGATCTTCTGAATTTCTGTAGGACCTCTTGTGAGGTCCCCCTTTTCGTTCCTAATTGCTTAAATTTGTGGTTTTTATTTCCTCTTTTTGATGTGGTTGGCTAATCATTTATCAATTTTATGTATTCTTTCAAAGAACCTACTTTTTATTGATTTTGTATTGTTTTCTTAGTCTTTCATTAATTTATGATTTTTATAATTTCCTCCCTTAATTTTTTTTTCCCTGGAAGTTTGAGATTTAACAGTAGGTTGTGTGTTTTTTTTTGTTTTTTTTTTTGTTTTTTTTTTGGGGGTTTTTCTCCGGTACCGGGAACCGAACTCACGACCTTGCGCTTGCCAGGCAGGCGCTTTGCCACTGAGCTAAATCCCCAGCCCCAACAGTAGGTTGTTTATTTGAGCTCATTCTGCTTTCCTGATGTAAGAGTTCATCACTATAAATTTCTCTTGTAGGACTGCTTTCATTGCATCCCATAAGTTTCAGTATGTTGTATTGGCATTATTAATTATATATACTGTTTAATTAAATCTTTAATTTCCTGTGTGACCCATTGGTTGTTCAGAAGTGTGTTTTTTAATTTCCATGTGTTTATGTAGTTTTTGTGATTTCTGTTGTTGATTTCTCTTTTCATTGCACTATGGTCAGATAGTATGCATGGGATGATTTCAGTTCCTCTACATTTATTTAAACATGTTTCATGGGCTAATATGTAGTATGTTTTGGAGAACATCCTTGTGCAGCTGAGAAGAATGTGTATTCTGATGTTTTGGGGTGGAACACTGTGAATATTTATCAAGTCTGTTTGTTCACAGGCTTGGTTTGATTCTGATATTTCTTTGCTGATTTTTTTTGCCTAGTTGATCTATTTGTGAGAGTGGGGTATTAAGGTCTCCCACTATAATTGTGTTAGTACTTATTTGGTTTTTCATGTCTGGAGAGGTCATGAATTTGTAGAGACTAGTTGGTTGTGCCTTATTTTTTGTTCATGTCCAGGTACTAAGTGGGTAGTTACAGTGCTAAGTAGTACTGAGATTTGGCTGGGCAAGTATAATGGGGAAAGAAGGGAAAAACAGTTAAGGGTAGAAGCAAAGAAGACATTTTAATCTCAGGTGTTGTAAGAAGTAAGATTAAGGGGCTAGTGGTATAGTCAGTGGTAGAGTGCTTGCCTAGTGTGCACACGGCCCTAGGTTCAATCCCTATTACTGCACACACAGAAAAAGTAAGGGGGTGAAATTCAGTGAAAAGATGGTAGGGTATCTGATGAGGCTGAAGAATTGTTGGAGTTTGCAGTTTAGGTCCAACAGGGAATGACCTAGAAAGATAAGAAACCAACTGAAGAATGAAAAGCTTGAAATAAAATTAGAGGAGGGGCAGTGGTTACCAGTTAGATGAGGATGTAGGGAATGATCCTGAAAATGAGTAACAGAGTTCTGTTATTTTGGTATTAAGTGTCCTCCACAGGTCCTTGTGGGAAAGGCTTGGTGTCCACCATGGAGATATTGAGAGGTGCCAGGACCCTTAAGATGTGTGGCCTAGTGAGCGGCCTTTAGGCCATTGGGGCATGCCCTTGAGGGGGAACTCACGGGCAGTGGAACCCCAGCACTCTGCTCAAGTGCTGTTTCACTTCCTAGCTGTGAGGTGACTAGTTTTAGGTTTTACTCCCTGCCATGATGTGCTCCTTCACCACAGCCCTAAAAGCAATGGAGTTAACTGGTCATGGGCAGGACTGTTTTTTTTTTTTTTTTTTTTCCAGTACGGGAAATTGAACTCATGACCTTGCACTTGCCAGGCAGGCGCTGTGCTGCTGAGCTAAATCCCTAGCCCCCGGCAGGACTGTTTAAAACTGAGCCAAAGTAAACTTTTTCTTTTTAGAAGTTGAGTATACCTGGGCCATGGGTGCTTTAATATGTTAAACTCTTGTTTTGTTTGTTTGTTTTTTCTTTTTGAGACAGAGTCTCACTATGCAGTTCAGGCTGAACTTGAGCTCACTTTGTAGCCCAGGCTGGTCTCCAACGATCCTCCTGCCTCAGCCTCCCAAGTGCTGGGATTACAGGTGTGTGCCATCACGCCAAGCTTTAAACTCTTGAAGATATTTTGTTTTAACAGGTGCATTAAGTTTTATATTGCTAGTGTGGGATTTCTATTTGCTTCTGACCTCTCAAATTACAGATGGTAACTGCTTTCTTTCATAGGAAATGCCCATCTGTCTGTATTACAAATCTAACATATGCCAGGCTTCATAGTTTGAATGACTGTGCTTTAAAATTTGCCATAGATTACTCTGTTCTATCTCCAATGTGTATCTCAAATGGATATGTCTGCAGTGACACTAGCTTGCCATATCAAATACACACAATAATCTACACTAAAAACTTGCTGTAATAGCTACAGTTAACAATAAACAGAGATTGATTAATGACTTGACAGATTGAAAATAGCGAGATCACCTGTAGCTTAGAAAATGATGTACCATGT